ATCTTAACAGCTGTTTCAATTAAGCAAGTTGGTTCTGTTCTATAATGTTCAATAGCATTAAAGTTACAAGGATTACCAACAGGGTGCAGCACTATTATTTCTTTTACATTTATGACAACAGCTAATTTGCAACCAAAAGGTGAGTGAGCATAGCGAACGAACTTCAACCTGGAGGCGAGTTAGTGTAGCGAACGAGCTAACCTGAAGGCAAGTGAGCGCAGCGAACGAGCTCCAACCTAAAGGTGAGTGAGCGTAGCGAACGAACTTCAACCAGGACGTGATTGAGCCATGCGAACGAGATCATCTTGAAAAGTAAGAAGTTAAACGGGGAAAAGCCCGCGGGTTACAGCTAGTGTTGATATAAAACAAATGTAAAACATATTATAACAGATATATACCCATAGAGCCAACAGTATTTTTTCCGCATTATTTTCAGATATAGGTTATTTTACGGATATTCTATTAAATTTTTGCTGACTTTTCAGTGCTTTATTAAAGATAAGTAGGAATGTCTTAAGTCTTTCACATTGGTAGGTTTGATATATGTTTTTATGCAACCCAAATTGTAAGAGCAGAGAATTATTGTATATAGTAAAAACATCATAATTTGGCAGCCCTGCTTGCTTTACTTAGTTACTGATTAGCGTTATGAATTTATGTATAGTATATTGACTTAATGTGCAGTGTCAAAAGGAATTGATCGTGAATAAGATTCAACTTGTTTCCCCTCTAAAACGCAACCCATGTTAAAGATCGGTGTACATACGGATAGATATAAGGAAGCGATTTTTGATATTTACATTTTATATGAAGCCGATCCTAAAGAGCTCCGCTCAACAACCTGTACTTGATTTGTTATGCACTGGGATCTCACCTAAACACCCTGATTACACATATTTCTTAGTATAAAATATATAATTAACTGTTTATCTATTCTTTTACAATACATATTCTTTGAAATTATGAAAACACCATGTTGGGTATCATTCACAAAAAAATCACAAAATATTGTCATTAATTGGTAGACCATCTCAACAGATTGCACCACGTTTCTTTGCTTTAAAATTTGCCATTACTTGGGAAGTCTATTCTGTGTATAGTACATGGTAACATTAAACCATGTTGATAATGATGCAAAAATGCATACCAGCTGATCGGCGATGTAGTAAAGGAAGTATGACTGACAACCTTATGCGAATGTATTGTCCCTAAATAGTGTATCTATGTAGGCCTACTTGTAATTTGCGCTAAAACACCCTAATCTCATAGTTATTTTTATATCAGAAGTATCTTTGGTAAAATTTATCGCAAAATAGGATTAAGTTAGTTTAAAAAAATTGTTTAAGCATTACTAACCGTAACATCTCGTATCTTAAAAGAAAGAGAATTTTTGAAGTATTTTCAACAATAATTTTAATGAAACAAATATCAAAACATTAGTTATTGAATACAAATAAATTACTGTATTGTACTGTAATTACTGTAATATTTATCAAGGTTGGTAGATGGTGAGCATGGCTGACAAACAGATACATTTGGCTTAATCTTACACTGTCTGACATCACTCGGTGAAGTTATTGTTCCATAGTAATTATCTGCATTGTTATTTCATCAACGTCATCACAGTTTGTTTGATTTATGAGTCTTGAGTTAGGTCATGTTCTAGAAATGTTATTCAAGCTCATCTTTAATCTAAAGGCATTTTAAACACAACATAATACTTTGTTCCTAAACGTTTGGTTTTCATTGGCTGTATAGCTTTCCATTTGCAGCATGTTTACACTGTAAACTAAACTGAATGTTCGTAACAGTAATATATAGGGCGAACAAACAATTAAAAACATTTGTGAAATAACAAAATAAGTTTAGTGGTCACAGTTTGTTCAAACTACACGTGAAAAAATCTAATATATTGGGGTTATTTCAACTTTAGGTTAGCAGAGACAATTATTTTTTTATTTTACAGGAATATTTCGAGTGTTTGGACATAAAAATGAATGTTTTTAATTAGGCCTACTGTGCATTTTGGTGAACCCTTTGCTGCTGATTGTGGAATAAAACCTACTTTTATTTAAACTATGGCCGTAGTTTTGACAGTAATCTAGTTATTTTGTGTTACAATGCATTAATATTTGTAACACAAACAGAAACATGTAAACAAGGTCGTTATCAAATAATAATGTACCGTACATGATAGTAAATATTACTAAAGATGAATAAACAGCATAGAGTCAACAATTATCGTAAATTTATTTTTACTATCACTAAGATTATTTGCAGAATTCACGAGAAGGTTTAAAAGACTATCCAATACATCTATTGTTGTAATGAGCAACAGTTGCATTGCAAATGTTTAAGTAAATGCATGGTCAATTGAAATTTACGTTTCCGAAATCGCCTGTTTAGTAATTTGATTTATCAGTAGCAATAGAAGATTATACCGATTTACAGGTTTTTCCGGACCCTGCAGCAAGATCCCATCTCTTGCAGGGGTCCGTCTGTGTTAGTATTGATAAAGTAGCCAATGTGCTTTATTTATTGCCATTGCGTAAGCCATAAATTCCCAAATCTACACAAAACAGATTTTTCACACTTTCATGGCTGTTTGTCACCGAATGGACAATTATTTATCAAGCTTGATCAATGATTGGCCAATAAATAATGTTTAGATTCCAGATTGCGTAGGTAATAAATAAAATCTTTATTACAACATTTATATTTTGGTTGTGTGTGTATTGGACACACGGTGATTCGCGTTGCATGTTTTATTCGGGGAGAAAACAGGAATTCATCTTTTTTCAATGTTGTAAGTTGTAACATAAACCATTTTATAATAGTTAATTATTTAATTAAAACATTAAATAGCTTTCGAAAAAACATTCAAAACATTCATAGTGAAACACAAATGCACTAGTTATGATTACCATATCCCAGTAACTAAGTAAATAATAAACCGATATAGACCGATATAAACCGCTTTTGAACTACTTGTCAAATATGGTTTTGTAAGTCTATCGTTATCATACGAAACCGTAAGTTAATAATATGAATACAAAAACCGTTGTTGATAGTAAAACCAAATGTTTTATGTATAGCATAACCAGAGTAGGGTTTGTTTTGTTTGTTCAAGAAAATTACTGACGATCGTCTCCAACTTAAAATCCGTTCTCACTGTCTTAAAAATATCAAAAAACTTAAAGTAATTCACGAAAAAACTTCACGTGAGCATCTTTAGTTTGTCGAATCTAAAACAATCAATTTTGAAAATTATGAGAGACTAAAATGATGAAGAGAATTGAATGCATGTTAAAAATGGTCGACATATGTCTCATTTTTGTGAGCAGAAGCCGCTCTATTTTCGTCCCCAATGATCACATCAGACGAGTGACATTCACATCATTAGCCCCACACTGGCAAGGGGATGTCAACCACGATATTAATGGAGTACTATTTTTAGTAGTTGCACAAATGACAAACAAACTAGGTTTCTGTTGTTTTAGTTGTCGTTTGAAATTGAATGCTTAGCCAAACATTTTAGAGAATTGCTTGGTTAATTTTTTATAACAGTCGACTGTATTTTTGTGTTAATTGTATTATTTAAGGAGATTTATATGTCATAAGAAAGGTGAGAAAGTCAATAAAAATTAAAACTTTATTTTAATATGATGTAAATACAAACGGATTGTTGAAAAGTAACAATTTACAAGGAAATTATCAAAACATTAATAAAACAGCTAACTTTTCCACAGACAAAAGTTTATATAAAAAACTATTATAGGCAATTGACTAATGCTAAAACATACAGTTGCAAATTATATTCTTAAACGGCTATCTTAATCTGCAGACATTAGATTCAATGGATCGACATTTTTTTGGATTATCTAACATTTATATTTGGATACATAATTTATTGTTTAGTATGCGTAATGTATATAAAAACAATTATAAAATAATTTTAAAATCCTTAATAATTTCATGAAATTTGTGGCAAACATCTATAAACTAATTTAATGATTTTAACTAGTAATCCTAGTTTTTAAGACACTATTTTAAATTAAATATTATGAAATTATTTTATTTAAGATATATTTATAAATAAAATAATTTATTTCTTAATTGACTTGTACAGTTTACACCATCCCTAGTTCCATAAAAGGTCGCCAATACAGATTTACCATATGTGAATCACAGATAACAATTTCATACTTGAATCTTATGCTTTGTTTAAAAACTGTACAACAGTGTAATTTATTTTAATTAAAATGAATCGTTGTAATACGTATGAGTAATTTCTAAAACAAAATGTTACGAGTATTTTTTTCGTCAAAATTATTTATTTTGAATTTATAGTAATTTAAGTCAAATTTTCTTTAGGGTTTATGCAGTTTAATGTAAACCACTCATTTTAGGATATCGAGATAGATTTTAGTATTTTATTAGCACAAGATTCTCTGAGGATGCCAAAACGAATGTTACTCACCAAAGATTTCGTTGAGTGAAGATGTTGAGGCGAAGTTCATAATCCAACTGCTGCAGTAGTAGACGAAAGTATAGAACTAAAAATATATATGTTAGTAGGCAGATTATTTTTATTTTTTAATATTAAGAGGGTTAATCCAACAACATAATAAAAAAAACACTTTAAAATAGATCATCGTTAGTTGGCACTCATAGTATACAATTTAGGAAGAGACATTAATTCAAGTATATTAACATATTTCTAATACGACTTGCTCTAAAAAATAAAGTACAGAAACCTAAGACAATTAAAAACATTGAGAACTTCTTTATCACAGAATCAGGAAATGCCAGAACCTAAACATTACGCACCAAGGTATACAAGTCTGATGACCCACTTGCAGTGTTATCAACAACGAATATCTAGTTCTGTATGCAATCTGAGAAGAACAAACTAAAACTTTTTTCTCATTGAGACAAACACCAAATGGCCTCCATAAACGCAATCCTATCTGTTGAAACAAACAGGAACAACAAGTACAATTGCCGTTGTAAATTATTGATAAGGGTTAATTTATAAAGCGTACGATCATATTACGATCAGAGTCTGCACCGTACGCACATTCACACATCAACATGTACGCCCTCTTCGGTGAGTAATAGTTGAATCATTTATTAGAATATGAAAAATATGTATTTGTTTAATCTAACATTAATAAAATATTAAAATTTGTTTTAATAAAATAAATGTTTACAGTTAAACATAGGAAAGGAAATTTTTAGAACAATAATTATTTTATGATTGTGGCAACCTTTAGTCTTCATACAATATGCAATCATAATTCTGTATGTTGCGTTTTTATTAATGTGAAATTTAAAATTTCACGATCCGAAAGCATAATAAAAAAAAATTTTGTTTTGAGATAGTTAACAGTCATGAATGACAACTTTATAATTTGTAATTTCAAACAATCTGCTTTTAATTAGAATCATTTCCAGAGGCAAATGTTAAGAGTGGCAATTGAAATTGACTGTTAGCAGAGGTTAGCCTAATTATTCATGTGGATTTGTTAAAAATAGACGTTGAAAAATTATACAATCGCCAAAGGTAAGCTACGGAAACCTCAACTTTTGCGAAAATGTCTTGCATTTACTGTATTAGACCATTCACTGTTAACCTTCGAAAAATATCAAATACCTCAATGACTTATAAGAATGTTTACGCTAAAAAGTAGTTTAAAATTTGTTACATACTGGATATATTTTCAGTAAGAATTCCCTGTAAAAGGAAAATAATTTTTTAACACCGATTGGCATTAACGGAAATATAATTGTTTTGTTCACTGTTAATTGAATATTTTTGTCTGTTCCAATAACTAAACGTAGTTGAGTCCAATTTAAGGAAACTTAATGAAGTTATAACCACCTAATACAAGTTTGAAACGCAAAAATAAAGTAGCTTGTTTACACATAACATTTAAATATATAGTAATTCATATCGATCAAATTTGTTAACGGCGCTTTCCGAATTGGAATCCCACAGTTAACTTAATATAAATTGAATGATCTAGTCTTGGACATACTATAGTCCGTTCAAAAAATTTAGGTGGTTTAAGGGGAAGGTTTCCTGGGATCCCCCACCACTTTTTTTAGCTTAATGCATACATCAGCTTTAGGCTGTTGTTTTAAATTTATGGTGAGGTGGAGGGAATGGAATTGTTTCCCTTCAAACCACCTACATTTTGTGACCGGATTATAGTAATACAGTAAGGTTAAATATATTCTTAGCCTCTCAATGAATAGCTAAGATATTCTGCATGATCGTAAATGATACTTATTATATGAACACAAAAATGGTGTATACTCTTCAAAATATCAATTGCGCATGACGTTGACGAGCTACCAGGTCTTGGACTCACAGCACCAAATAAATATAAGCTTTCTCACAGAGCTGGGACTGATGAAGAATTTCCGTGAGTCGCCAGTCAACAGAACTGGATTGGAAAATATCTTAACTATTTACTGGATAAGCAAACAGTACTTTGATTTACAATTTGTCAACTATTTTTAACAATAAACTCTTAATGTTTCAGGAGTCTTGGTCGCGGCCACCGCCGTCCTCGCCATCCCCATGCCGATGCCCGGCGCTCAGCCCGACCCGTACGCATACCCCGCCCCAGCCCCCGTCCAAGGAGGTCCCTACCCCAGCTACAGCGGACCCTTCGCTAACCCCATGCCCGAGCCTTTGCCATACCAGAGCTTCGGCCCCAGTGGACCCGAGGCCTTCCCCTTCGCCCAGCCCCAGCCCAGCCCCTACGCCTCCGCTTTCGCCCAGCCCCAGCCCCAGCCCCGTCAGCCCCAGCCCAGCCCATTTGCTATGCCCGGTGCCAGCCCCTTCGCTCAGCCTGAGCCCTATGGTGTTCCTAGCTTTTACCAGTTCTAAGTTTGTAATATAGCATTTATTTTTTTACTTAAATTTGTTCGTTTTTTCCCTGCATCTTATGTTAACTCTGTAGAGGATTTATGATCATGGTAGGCTGCAAACGCATTTAACTAAATTTTGATTAATCAATGCCATCTATGAAGTGATTCGATTTTATATTTTTTAACTTTTAATTTTAAGCCTCAAGTATAACACAATAACTATTTATTTCTCAACTAATATTGTATTTATTTTTCAACTAAAAGCCACTCCTTAAAAGGCTATGCCAATTTTTAAAAGTATTGCTTGGTTTTACTATTAATAATTAAGTGGCTGCGCTTTATCTGCGACACGTTTATTGGAATAAAAACATTTAAATCGCAAATAAAATGTATAGGATAATATAATCCAACTATATTATAAACATGTCCAACTACTCAGGGTTGGTGAAAAGTGACTTATGCTAGATGATTCAAACCTTTTCAAATTAAAGTGGGAACTAAAATACTATTTCTTTAGCTTATCAAGCTCAGAAGGGGGACAGCCCACTAGGAGTCAGTAGGAAATCTTAAATATAATCAAAGGTTGATGTACATCAAGTTAAACCCCTCTATTGGCAGAGTAAAATGCAACAAATGCTAATTAATTGATATGGACAACCTAGCCGGAAATGGTAGTCATTCAGAGATGGCGTAAATTAGCAATTTTGAAACTTTGAACTGCTGCCATTTTTGACCTGGTAAGGATAATTTTTACAGTTGAGGTAAAAAGCGATATTATCTGATCTCATATTAGTACATCAAAGATTAGTTTGCCAATAACATATTGAAGTAGTATTTGTCCGACTGTCGTATCACTGAGTCTTTTGGATGTTTAGTAGTTTGCACCAAGAGAAAATTATATAGTTCATTTAATGCATTATAGAATTAAGTAGAAAGAGTATCCATGGTCACATTGTAATGTTTCTACAGTTGAGATACTCGATAATATTGAAAGAGAGTACATATAAACAGAAATTAGTACACATTTCTGTTTTCAGGAACAACTTTATTTTTTACTGTGGTTTGTAAACTCGACATTACAAACTTACTCATGTGGTTTTATACACTAAAACAACTATGTCTATGGTATGAGTAAGGGACATATTAAACATTCATTGAGAACCCCTGTGATCATTGTCATCAGTGCCTTCTTGATTGTTGAAGACTATTATAGCAATAGAAGAAAGTTTACTTTGTGCACTTGCCAGTTGCAGTTTTATTTGTTTTTTATTTTTTGCAGTCACATTGGCTTTACACATTTTTCTACTGGTATGAAATTAGTTATCGATTGCATTTTTAAGATGTATTGCTCTAGCCTAGTGGTTAGCGTCTCGGACTTCGGTTAGGGAATGACGGGTTTAATTCCCGGCACATCTACAAAACTTTAATGGGTTTGGACGGCCACATACATATTATTTAATAAATCCAGACGTCAACAATATAGATTTGTCAAAAACTAACTATGAGTCCTTAACAATTGATGCAATCCCTATGGCATTTGTTATATGTTGTGTTAAGAGTCTTTAGCGTCAAAAGAACCTTAATATAACCCTGCTTGGTTCAATGGGAATTAAAACTCAAAATGCATACAATTAAAGTCTTATGTTGAAATATTTTAGGTCAAACAGATATTTACCTACTGAAAAAATGCAGCTCACCGTCTATGGACAACATAAAACACATTATAAAATTAATTATAATATGGCATGAAATTGATATTTTTATTAACTTAATGTTTTTTTTCTGTACTAAATGGTTAAGTGAAATAAAGCCTTATGCTATGTTATCAATTGGATAAATGCTATAAACATTACATCATGTGATCATTTGGTTACGTCGAAAAACAGGTAGTCAAACAAACGGTAAAAAAAATTGAAGACAGAACGATTATTTCTAGACGAAATGTATAGTAACTTCGTATTATGACGTCCTATAGTTTTAACCACTCTAAATGCATTGCTGCCCAATAACGCATGTTAATAACGATATGGTGAAAATAATCCAAATCCTACTAATAAAATTGAACTCATCCGAGCCCCTGTCAGAGTACGTTGTTATCAACCAACGTTTACTTCTGGTACACGTTCTTTCAATCATTCAAAAACTACAATGTAGGCCTAAACTAATTCTAAGCTATTGTAATCATTTTGACCTATAATTTATCAATTTCAACAACAAAAATATGAATATAAACATGTAATACACAATAATACCATTGTGTAATGTAGCTAAATTTAGATTTAAAATTTTCAATGAAAACGCGATTTCACTATTAAGAAACATGCTCTGCATTAAGGCATTACACACTTACTACCCCTTCTTATCAAATGCCGGCTGAAAGTCCATAATTTTCATAGATTTATATAAATTATATACTATCTTAAATTTTAAATTGTAATACAGCGTCATGACGTGACTTTTTCATGCGATGTGCTTTTACGGTAAACGATATCGTGACGAAAACCAGTTATACTCAAATCAAATAATTAGTAACTATAAATATTATTGTTCAGCGTAAAATATAAAAGTGCTGTTTATTATTTATTCATAACTAAGAAAATCAATGATTTCATTATCCTTTTTCTTTGATAATTGAATAGGGTTTTATCTAACCCGTAAATTTTACTATGTATTATTGCAATAGCTATTTGTGTATTAAGAGCGCAAAGTACGACATTGTCGCTCGAGAACTGTATTACTTGATCTATGCTATAGCTAAGAGACGTTTTCTACCACAATAATTAACTTATCATTACACATAGATTTAAATACTTATGCAATTTCGGTCATATTTGCTTTTGAGGTTGTGTTATTTGCTAGCCGGTTGTTAACGTACCGTATCCGTGTATCCGTGTGGTTGGTGTAGAATGAGTGGAAATGAGCTATTTTGCATACTGTTTATAGATGTGGCAATGTGATCATTTCCATGCAGTGGTAGGAATAGTATATTTCATATTAAGAGTAGAAAGTAAGTCATTACATATAAATATCGCACTTTAAATGCTCGAGAATATGAATAGAGCTACTTTCCCTTGTGTTTTGAACGTTACTTTCGCCACACTTCAAAGACTAACTATTATTTTATTTTTTTTTATTTTTATTTTTTTTTATTAAAACAGACATAAGATATTTCTTTATTACAGTTACTAACAATACAAAAGGCATAACATTTTTAGGTCATGCCTTCAATTTAATGTCAATATTTATTATTCGGTTGTACAGTTTAGGTTGTTAAAAATCTAACAAAACAACAACAAATCTTTGTTTGTTTACATCTGCAAAATAAAAAAAATAATAATAAATAGTTAAACATACTTTCGCATAGTAAGCATTCTTTTTCCGTAGTAAACAATGTAATGATGATTTTTTGCGGGTGTTATACATGTAACACGAAAACAGACAATTTCACAATAGTTTAGCGAAAAATACTTTTTTACTAACGATAATATACTCTGTCTCTATTTGCCAATTTTAGTAAAGAAGCCCGAATGTAAATTGTAGATACAGAGTTAGTTAGTAATATGTTTGGCATTAAGCCTAGCTTAATCTAATTTGCAAACAAAAAGTTTTAGATATATCTTTCGTAGATTCTTGATTATTTAAAAAGTGACCAATCGTACTTGATAGGCTACATTTCTGAAGCATTGTAATGTAGTAAGCAAGAAACACGCAATGATAGCATTGAAAAATACAGTATTTTTTTATACAGTAACACATTTAAACACACCTACACATTTATCACATTTCTAAAACCCACCTACTTGTCTTGCAAACACCCCCCTGTAATATGACAAGTGAAGAATAGATTACATCTAATTGAAATGACTTGCGCGTTCATTTAAATGCAAAGTGCGTGATTAAGAAAGCTATAAGCAAATTTGAACCATTCTACTACCAAGAATTTTACATGTATTGTAATCAGTTAACGTACATACCTTTGCCTGTCTCCAGTATATTATTCCGAAATGCATTTCTTTGTCGTTCGCACTTACCTAATCTTTATCACAGTTCACCACGAGTGCAGTCCCTTATCAAGAGGAAAGTGTGTGAGTTTTTACTGTTTAACTTTCTGTGTTGTTAAACATTCGATATGGCAATGTTACTTTATGTACACACTAGTTTAGGCGACACCAGCAACCGCGTGTAGCATCAGCAGGAGAATGTGGAGCAAGATGGAGTTTTGCATACATCAGGATTTAAACAAGGTATTATGATTAGAACTTTGTACATTTACACCTAGAGGATTTAGACAGTCTGGACATTTTATAGCGAACTTGAAGAGAGAGTCTCTGGTGAACTCTGTGCGGCACTGGATAAATCGCGTATATTCGCACTCGTTTCTTCCGTGTGCATGCAATTTTATTTTATAGCGGTTCAAGGCCCTACAGTTTGGTTCAAGACCTTACGTGACGTTTTGGAATACAAATTCAATTTATCTGTCTTCCTCTTACCGGATTAATAGACGTAACTTTGATTATGGTATAACAAATAGTATGAATCATTAATACGACTTATGCTATTTTTATCCAAATGCCGACATACGCTAAATGTTTTGTCAATCTAAATGTTATAATGGAAAAATGTAATTTAAAGTGCTAGCGTTGACTGATGGACTTTTTAAAGACTGAAACTAAATTTCTAAAAAAAGAAAACTGAAACCTGATATCAAAAAAATTATCTTAGACATTACCTTTAATTTTAAATTTTCTCTTTTCTTCAGAAGAAGAATCGTGAAAGGGGTTGATTCAGAATCTTTGGGCCAAAAAAAACCTTCAAGTTTTAACTTATAAGGTGATGGTGAAAAATTATATCTTCCATCATTATTTAGAAGCGTTCATATTTATTTTATTCCTTCTTCTTAGTTAGTTCACTTTTACTTAACTGTGTTTATTCATATTCACTAAATATAAATGAGAAATCATAAAAAATGAGCATGGTAAAAATCAATGAAACATTCCAGTGACTGAAAGGGTTTTCCTGAACTAAAGATTGAAACATGATTGACGC